TTGTGTTAGTTCTCCTGGACCTCTCGGCAGCTTTTGATACGGTTGACCATGATATGCTGATGCAAAGGCTGAAGATTGATTACGGAATCAGTGTCAAGGTTTTGTCATGGTTTCTTTCATATGTATCAGGACTGCAACAAACGGTTGTGATCAAGAACTCACACTCATCTACAGTCTCCGTGGACTACGGTGTCCCTCAAGGTTCTGATTTGGGACCTCTGTTGTTTACCATGTACACCAAGCAGTTGGAGGAAGTAGTCCAGAGCCACAATGTCCTACATCATCTATATGCAGATGACACTCAGATGACACTCAGATGACCGACTGCTTCAAGTTGAACACCAACTCTCCACTGACGAACATGGAGAATTGCTGTGCATCTGTCAAGGCTTGGATGAACACCAATCTCCTCAAGCTAAATGAGGACAAGACAGGTGATGTTAGTCGACCAAGCCTCCCGCCTGTCGAAGATCAATACTGCTTCTCTTCACATTGGTGACACACCCATTCCCCTCTCATCAACAGTCAAAGATCTTGGTGTCTACTTTGAATGTGATCTGTCGATGGAGAAGCAAGTCTCAGAGTTATGTAAATCTTGTTACTACCACATCCGAACCATTGGCGGTATCCGCCATCTTCTCACTGAAGATTCTACTGCTGCACTTATTCGATCTCTGATACTTTCCTGTACAACCTTCTGCTCCTTATCTCACAGGAACTCATTAATCGACTCCAGCGAATTCAAAATACTGCAGCACGCATTGTCACCAAAACCCCTAAGTATTACTCCTGTCCTGAAACGCCTTCACTGGTTACCAATCCGAGCGAGAGTTGACTTCAAGATACTGACTTTGACATATCAGTGTGTTCACAGAACAGCTCCAGTGTACCTCCAAGAACTCTTCAGGCCGTACATCCCCGGTAGACCGCTCCGCTCCAGTCACAGAGACCTGCATGTTCCTCGTTGGCACCTGAAATCATATGGTTTCCGTTCTTTCCAGGTGGCAGCGGACAAGAAATGGAACGAATTGCCCGACCATCTGCGAACATGTCAAACTCTAACTCTATTTAGATCTCACCTCAAGACTCACCTTTTTTTCAGTATCATATCACTGCAATTAGAACTCTCTGTATCCGCTATGAGCATGCCCCCGGCGGGGAATTTGGCGCTTTAGAAATACATGTATACTTATTATTATTATTATTATTGTTACAATTGGGAACCGATGACATGTGTCAACAATGTCAGCGAGCCTGACCACCCGATCTCGTTTGTCGCCTCTTACGACAAGCATGGGTTACTGAAGATCAATTCTAACCCGGATCTTCACGGGTCGATTTGGGGAATAGTTTACGTGCAAATTAATATTCGTCTCAGGCTCAGATTTACCCGTATATTATAAAATGCAAATAAAATTATGATATACGATATCAGGGTCGGATGTAGCACATTGATGTGACAATACACTTCATCCCTTTGCTTGACATTTTTTAAGTTGATTCGTAATAATCGACGCAGTGAGTGAGTTAGTTATTTCGACGCCGCTTTCAGCAATATTCCAGCTATATGGCAGCGGTCTGTAAATAATCGAGTCTGGACCAGACAATCCAGTGATCAACAGCATGAGCATCGATCTACACAATTGGGAACCGATAATATGTGTCAACCAAGTCAGCGAGCCTGACATCGATCCCGTTAGTCGCCTCTTACGACAAGCATGGGTTACTGAAGATCAATATTCTAACCCGGACCTTCACGGGTAATAATCGAAGCAAGATACTATATATAGTTTGGCATGAAAAATAAACAGCAGAACGCAGACGGCTTGCAGAGGGAGGGAGCCAATGACCTGTAACAGCGGCAGTGTTGGGTCATAAAGGTCAACGTTCGTCAATGTAGGTCAGCTATGCTGATGACCCTGATGTCAAAAGAATCTAACTTTGGATGCCTACCTTTTTGTTCAAGGTTTTGTTTATTGGTTGTTGGTTTATTTTTCACAATTTTTAGCACGATGTTCTTTTTCATGTCAAGAGCAAAAGTTGTACGTTTCATGTAATCCGACACCTTATAAATCGGTTTGCTACGTTTGCTCTCTTTTTAAAAAAAATTCAACACATTTCTAATTAAACGTTTAGCATCATCTGAATAAGCTTTCATGATGACAGCTAGAAGTGGTCAATGTGAATGATCCAAACGGTCTATCACTGTGCAGTGCACAGGTAACTATCATGAACTGCACGTGCATTTACCTTTATGACCCAACACTGCCGCTGTTACAGGTCATTGGCTCCCTCCCTCTGCAAGCCGTCTGCGTTCTGCTGTTTATTTTGTTGACAGTTACATAGACAGGTTCTTTAATACAAATGCATAAAATCGGTGATTTACAATGTGATTAGGTTGTCTGTCAAAACATCCAGTTGCAGAGTTTGAGATCGATTGGGTCATTTGATGAAGAGATATTTAAAAAAAAACGGGTCCACATGCATTTCATGCCAAACTATTTTTTTATAGGTGACAACGTCTTTATGACATTATCATGAAGTAAGAGGTTGCTATACGTAAAGCATCTTGCCCTTATTATACGATTATCTTAAATATGCTCCGCGTTTGTTTGATATATTATATTTTGCGGGGATCTGTTTTGTTTCCATGTATACACCTTTTAACAGCTGAAAGTATTGATTACTTATATTTTAATAAATTCGGCAAAATGTAATTAACACATTACTTCCTACAAATTGAAATTATGCCACAAAGAAGTATTGGCCATGTCCTCTTTTTCAAGTTCAATGTTCGCAATAAGTTATTAACTCATTATGGTTTCTCCGGCAGTTTTGAATGTTTGGATCGTACAAAAACCATACTAACGCCTGACGCCGGAACGAGAACCGACGAAACAGCTTGTCATATTCACTAGGAACAGCGATTACTCTTGGGAAAAGGATAACTCGAACAATAGGGTTCCTTTGTCAATGTAGGGCTGATCACTGGCAGCAGATGCTTGTTCTACGAGCTCTCATTGTTAATATCTACCTTTCACTTCTCGACATCCGGGAAATGTTTTACGATCAAGGCAATGGCTCAATGGACAAATGTTTTAATTATGAAGCGTTGGTAAAATTGTATGATGTGCATAGGCGGGTCCAGAGGGTGTGTGGGATGTGGGTGTCCATTTGTCCTGAGAGTTTATTAAATGACCATTTAAAGTCTCACGGAAATGAAGTGTGCACCCCACCCCCACCCAGCCTTCCTCAAGAGTGAGCACCCCCCCCCCAATTTCTCAAAAGCTGTATCAGCCCCTGATGTGTTTTTTTCTGGTATCATTACAAAGAAATACAGAATGTAAACATATTTGTTGATTTGTTGTTATAGGCCGCATTCAGCAATTATCTGGTTTATGATCAAACCTGGACCAGACAGTCCAGTGATCAACATCATGAACATCGATCTACGCATTTGGGAAACGATGACATGGGTCAGCGAGTCTGACCACCCGATCCCGTTAGTCGCCTCTTACGACAAACATGGGTTGCTGAAGATCAATCCTAATCCTAGGCCAACCTGCACGGGTTCTTAATACAAAGTCTTTTCTTAATTCTTTTTGAATTGTATAAAGGATACAGTACATCTTAGGGTGCTATCCAACATATCCTAATCATGCACTGACCTATATAAATATTCTGGCTTTTTGGTATAGACCATTTCGTTTAATAAACGCACTGAGTGATTTTGCCGGCGATCTCTTATAGAAATGCTACCGTTTCGTTATTGATTTTTCTATGACTCACTTCTTTAACAGATACACCCATGTTTCTTAATTAAAGCATGAAATGTGCAGTTTTTGAGGGGTTTTGTAATAGCAGTTCCAAGCTCTTAGTAATATGAATGCTAAATCTGCAGACAGTTTCTATTCAGACGATATTTAAAACTTTTGAATAACCATTGGGCTTACTTTGGTCTTGATTCATTAATGTTGAATTACCACTGATCGTCATGTTGCAGATTGAATCCGAGGTGTGTATGATCGTGGATTTTACAAATATGTGTGCCAGGCATGGGGAGAATAAAAACGATAAAACGGTTATCGATTTCTTCCTCCTACAAATACCGACTCTGTTTGGTTAGAGATGTTAACCGATAGAGACACATTACCACAGAATGTGGATTGGATGGAGATTGGTTGGAAATCTTTTTCGTAACGCTGTTTCGGTTGTGACGTCATTATTTGGCCAGTTATGCAATGTTGGCTGAGTAGATATTTCTTTGTTGCTGGTCAAGCATTATTAACAAGGTTGTCTGTTCCATTAATAGTCTTTCCATTGTCAATCTTCGACGTCATATATGATTAGATTGTATCTCTAAAATAATGGTAGTACTCTGTCTCATGCATGCAGCGCGTCTGGTCTTCTGAATCTTGTTAGGGGCGGTGGGGTAGCCTAGTGGTTAAAGCGTTGGCTTGTCACACCGAAGACCCGGGTTCGAATCCCCACATGGGTACAATGTGTGAACCCCATTTCTGGTGTCCCCCGCCGTGATGTTGCTGGAATATTGCTAAAAGCGGCGTAAAACCATACTCAGTCAGTCAGTCTGAATCTTGTTATCGTGAGAAAACATAGTATAGAGTTTGCAATATTTTCAGCTCTAATTTATTTAAAATGATTTTAATCTTCTGCATACAGATTATTTATTTTCGTGTAAAACTAGCTTTTCAATTTATTGCATGGTGATTACTATTTATTGCGATTATCTTACCTTGTAAATAACAGTGCAGTCATCGTCGATTTTATTACATGTATTTGTTAAAATGGCAAACATTCAATCCTCGCTGAATACCAACGTGTTGTTCAATGTCCTACCCAAAATATAATAAGTTCTTCAGTTCTTATTTTTTAGCAGTATGCAGGTCGGGTTTCTATAGAGTTGTCTACCTTCGTTGAATTTATTGATTCCGAAAACATCCGAGGTTGCCCGAACATTGATTATTCTCACAATCAAGTGACGTAGTGAGCTATGCCTGTGGTGTCAACATTGCCTGCCTCCGCTCATTATTTGGCTGAAACTCAGCAAAACGGGCACGGGATTGCTTCGTTTACCAACGATTGCTCTTCCCTGGGCAATCATTTACGTTTTTGGTCATTCGTAAGTGTTGCCCATGTTCCACAAATGCTAGAATTTACTATCAAAATGGTTTGTTTACATCTGAACAGAGGTCATAGCGAGCTCCCAGCCGTAGCATGGCTGTGTTGATGTTTTCATTTGATTGGACGGTGTACGGGCTACGCAGCTGCTTGTTGTTATAATCGGTTATTTCTGGATATAATTATTCCTACAAGGCTGTCGAAGAATCTGTAAATGCACCAGCCCTTTGTAGAATCTCATTGTCAAGGTCAGCTTAGTTGTAAACTAAGCAGACGATTTTTTACTGTCAAACCTCCAAACAGCTGACTGAGTGCGAGCGATGCGTCTCCATTTGGTAGGAAATTTTCCTTTGTGTGAGCATATCGGTTTACAGGCCAACAAAAAAGCATTGATTACAGGTGGTAGTAGTGCACACGATTTGACATGCTTGCTGATGTGGTTATTATTGTAGTTGTCTCCATTTGTTTCTACAATATGGAACCGTTTGTCAAGATGGCTAACTGTTGAGAGCAGAGATAGGACCATTTCCTGTGTTTTCATAAGTAGGCCACCATTAATCCAGGAAATAAGCATATATATAGATTTCCAAAGGCAAGTATGATATTTTGTTGTGCAGTCATCATTCTGTTGTGATCTTGCTTGGAGATGAATCTGGTTGCAAATTCCATTGTCTATCTGCAATCTGCATGTATTTATTTATTGCAGATATTAGTCTAAATGCTTCATTAATAATCTTGCTTAAAATATGCCATATGATTTAGTAGACCATGACACTCCCAGTTTTGTGTTTCATATTGGCAGTTAGCTGGTTCATTAATTCTGAGATTGCACATATGCAATGCTATGCTGTAAAAGATTAATGAACTTGAAATAATTTTGTTCTCAATTTCTGTGTTTACCCAAATTAGTGTTAATTTCAATGTAAGTTGTTTTTATTCCGTTAAAGATGTTTTATGGAGAAACGTTGACACAGAAAATGTATTATTTTCCCACTATTTGCATTTTTTTAGATGTTTTCTAATGTAAAAAGTTTGTTTTTCAGCTGCCCATTGTATTCACAGAATTATTTCCTTTAGATATGTCCCAGAAAATTTATTGACAATTGAAAAATTTGAAATTTTCGACAAAGATAGCAATTGTGTATGCAATTTGTAGTGAACAGAAAACTGCTATGTGATTTAGATAACACCCATATATTCCTACAAATAACACATTTAGTCATTTCAAGTATTTGCCCTCCGCTGTGTAGTGCCTTTGATGGATTCCTATGAAACTATTTCTTGTCATTTTAAATCCTGCACAAAATATCTCCTGTAGTGCTAGATGCTTTTCCATGGTGCATTTATATGTATTTGTCTGCATTAACACACTTCTATTATATATTACTTCACCTGTTTATTTGAAAATTACCCAAATCTTATTATCACATAGTTCAGACTTACAGTAACTTGTTAACACGTTAGATTGATTTTTCATTCCATGACTGGGGGTTGGGACAGAACTGGCTTATTCCATATTGGCTCCATAAAATTATTTTAGTTGTAGAAATGACCTGATTTTAGTCACAAGGTCTTGTGATTTGTGTCCATATTTGAGACTAAGCTTGAAAGTCATGGGGCAATAGTCTTAACATTGGTGTAAAAATAAGAGATGAAGTATGTTTCAGAGGTGGTGGGACTATGGGTTGAAATACTGTTACACACCACAGACCCTTAATTTCATGGAAAGATACAGAAAATACACCCAACTCATATTTCTACTGGTTCAATGGTTATATTACAATTTTTAAACCATTCTGATGATAAACTGTTTCTTTTGCTGTGCATTCCGAGCCAGGGATATACTGTCCATACACATATTTTGACAAATGGAACTGGCACGATAATAGGTTATGCAAATTGATAATGCGATGTGCCGTTGAGATTGACATCCAATGGTTGAGGGAAAAAATACCAGCGCCTTCAGCATGCACTAGTGCGTGGTTATGTGCGCTATATAAATATCCTATAATAATAAAAATTATGGAGAAATTATGTTCAATAAACTCATGGCTTTATTCAGGGAAATTGCTGAAATATTTTGATTCTGGTAGTAGATATATCATACAGAATGCAGAATATGCTGTTACCATTAGTTTCTGATAGTAAATCGATCCTTATTTCAGTATATTTACATGTTTGAATAATTTTGAACCTGTCATCAATTTGTTTTTTGATAAGTTATCAGCAAAGTCAAGATATAATGTTAAATAATGGGGTAGCTTGATAGCAGTATTGTGTCACGATGAGTAACTGGTTATTCATGTCCTTTGTCCAGAGCTGCTTTGTTGTGAAGTTACCTGCCACGAGTTCGGACAGATAAATCTTTCTTGATTTAAAACAGCTGACACCAAATTGACACTTTTCTTCTTTGTGATTTAATAAATTCACTCATTGAGGATTATTGATAATCTGAGCTTAGGCATTTGTAAAAATTCTACGTTTTGTTCATTAGCAGTGTGGCTTTAGTAGTGCAGAGGTATCAAAGCATTGTAATAGATGGGAGACTCTATAAAGGATAAAGTTTTCTTTGTGATGCATTTTCTAAAACATATTAACCAAATTACTACAATTTTGCAAAGTTAGGGATTAAGCTTGACATGATAAGAGGCTGATATTTGGCCCCAGGTCTAGAGGAAATATTTGTAAAACATTCCGAGTTCATGTTAATGTTGTGTCATTGTGGAAGTAACTTCTGTTTCAATGGTAACAGCGTCGCTAGAGAGGTTAAGGCTTTAATTTTATTCTAAAGTTTACACTTTACAGTCTTGAGTCAATATTAAATTACAATCTTAATATACCAATGAATTATGGAAAAAATGAGCTTTTAGTAAATCCAGTTTGAACAAAATCCATCCTTTCATCTAAATATTTCCCAGTTTGTCTTACATGGGTGGTTAGTTTCAATTTCTAAATAAATCTGTCCACCCTCAATGTTAATGATTTCAGCCCCTAGAAGATGTATGTAGTGGTGTATGTAAGATGGAAATTGGTGTCATTAGAAATATTTATTCATGTTCTCTCAAAAAATCTAATTATAACATGTGAAACTAAACTGACGGAAATCATGTAAGCGAAAGCAAGGGTTTTTTTTTGTTCCTTGTACAAATGTTAACAGGAAAGTGTGAAAATAGAATGTCAAACTTTGAATCCTTGAGAGAAGTTAGTACATCACAAAACAAATCTGATGTATAAGATCACCCCTTGAAAATCATATGTACATATTTCAACCATGAAAAATACTGTATTTACCATACAAAAATTGTGGAAACGAAAATGATTGTAGTTGGGATGGGGGTTAGTGGATTGGTCTCAGGGATGTTTTATATTGTCCTCCCCTTTTTCTTTTTTTCATAGCACCCCACTCTCCACCCAAGTCAAGTGTGTGAATTACAGGAAATTGAAGATGAATATCATTTCCTCGTTATATGCCCCTTATACAAAAGCATAAGATTAAAATATCTTATCATTATAATTGCACAAATGTCACTGTTCAGAAATATATAAATTTGTTGGGTGTCTGTTCATCATTTATACTTCACAATTGTGCTATGTTTATTAAGGAAGCTCTTCTACAGAGAAAATTACAGCTCAATATGTAAATTCGTATAAAGTGTATCAAAATGTCACGACAAAATTTGTTTGAAATGTATTATACGTGGGCCAATGGCCTTTCTATTGAATAAATGATTGAAATTGAACTCTCCACCCATCTCTAACAAAGGACCATTCCTTAATGATTGCAAATTTCACAAGCATGAGCAGTGACAAAAATATATTGAAACAATTGCAAAAGCGAGCTTCCAGTTTTGACAAACCTTATGAATTACAGTAAGGGAATAGTAAGATGTGTATAACTTTGGAAGCAAAACAAACCAAACTTATCTTCACCAGTTCAGTGAACATTGTAGGCCAAATTGTGTGTTATGCTTGTATAATGATACTGTGAGGATAGATGTGAGTTTCTATAGAAGATCAGTGTGCCCATAGATCACACAAAGCATGTTTCAACAGGCAATAAGGTTTCAGTTAGGACCCCGGAGTAAGCTGTGCATGTCCTGTCTTTCCACATATTGTTGCCTTTGACATTTGTTTTCAGTTTTAGAATGTTTAAAAAGATGGCTATGAATTAACTGGGGCTTATGATGTGGTGTACATCATGTTTATGCTGGGGAAAATCCTTTTATTGCTTTTCCAATCCTCAAGAGCTTGTGATTTTTAACATTAAGCATGCTTAAAGGCCTCTAAAGATACCAAAATGGCTTTAGTGTATGTTTCAAAAATTTAAATGCCAGTGATCCTGGCAATCTTCCAAGTGAGTCAGTTAAATTATGAGTGTTAAAATTAGTTACAAATTGTAAAAGGAATATCACCTTACAATTATGGCATGAAAAATAAAATAACTTGTGAAAGCTTTCCTGAATATATTTGAGAATAAGAAAAACATGCGTTTCTTAATTTCTGAATCTTTTTTAAATAACAGTAATATTTAATAATATACAAAGCTGTCAAGCTGTTTCTGAATTGTATTGTCATAGCATGACGTGTATGTCTTTCATGTTATTGCTGGGAAACTCTGAAATATGATTGATGAGTAACAATTGGTTGTGTTATTTGTTTTCCAGACATTATGAATATACACAACCAGGGACCACGTCAAGTGTTTCTTTACAACCACGGACGCACACACTGGACCCAGGGAGGACCCATCTTTTATGATCATAGACGTATCAATCATCAAGTAGCAATCGGAACTGGACAATTTCAGGGACAGTGGTTTCGGGGCCCCGTAGTTCCAGCTGGCCCACAGAACTCTCCTCCATTCCAGAATTTTCGTGTGAATATTTCATGGAACGGTCCTCTTAACGGTCCCTTTCACAACAACCTGAATATACATTTTGGTAGGAACTTTGTCAATCGTGTTCACTACAGAACAAATATGATTGGTGGAAGACAGGCACCCCAGCCAATGCTAGGGGTTGATGAGGACACAGAGTTGTGTTTCATCTGTGGTGACTATCTCCAGAACTGTAATGAGCCTGGTGTTCACATGTGTGATGGGGGACGAGACAGTTCTTCCAGGTGTAATCAAAATGCAAGACATTCATCTGATGCAGACCAAAGGCAGGCAGAAATTAACAAAGACAATAATATCAAGACAAAGTTAGGTGAGGAAAGCATGTAGTTTTGAAACTTCTCGTCATAAGCATTGATTTGTTGCTTGTGATTCATGGATGAGGTTAATTCTCAGGAAGAGAAAGGAAAACGAAAGTATCCCAAATGGAGCAGGTCCCTAGTACCCTATGCTTTTCATAAGTGCCAACTTGCCCATGATTTCAACTCATGGGGATCCGAAATGGAGTAGGTCTCCCATACCCTATGTATTTCATAAGAGCCAACATTCCCATGATTTCTCTCACTGGTTTCAACTAATGAGGCCCCAAATAAGAGTAGGAACCCAGAAGCCATGGCAGGATTGACATGTTGGGTCAGTCAGACTTGGTAACTTGGTTGATTTCATTTCATCATGTTCCAATCCGTAATATCATTACTCATGAGAAATAATGCACTGGTTTCGACCAGTAAAGAACTGGGTTAGAATTGGTCTTCAGCAGTCCCTGCTTCTTGTAAGAGGCGACTAACGGGATGGGGATCAGGCTTGCTGACTTGGTTGATACGTCATTGTATCTCGATTGTGTACATCTATGCTCATGTTGTTGATCACTGAATTGTCTGATCTAGACTTGATTATTTACACACTAGTGGTGGTCCGATTAATTGAAATAATCGAAGATTGGTCGCAATGACTAAACGACCAAGCAATCGATCATGTTTTCTCATAATCGAACACAAACAATTCTGGAACACTTGTTTGCATTAACAATATTTTTCACAAGGTTGGTTTTGTCTATTACATTTCATAAACATTACAAGCTCGTTCCAAGTCAGGATTGAATTTATCTTAAAGACTTATACAAATTTATGTTCCTAACATATTAGTCATCCTTTAAAGATGTTAAAATTGCACATGCATTTTGTGGAATTTGCAAAAAGACTCATAAAAACTACATATTTTTTTCTTTGTTTTTTTGTGCAGTCACAAACATAACCAGAAAAAATTGATCAATGATGCTGACCAATTATTTTCGATGATTGATCGGTTGTAATAAACCAATCATCAATTATGAGATTTTATCCAATTCCCAACACTATTTAGTATTACACACCACCGCCATATAGCTGGAATATTGCTGAGTGCAACCTACACTTAATGTATTTTTTCTATACCAAGCTAAATCATTTACCATCATCAGTATTTCAGAGATTTCCTTATATTGTACTCCCTCAATAAGTGTTGTGGGTGTGGTGCTACTGTTTTGCCAGCCACAGCCTGGTTTAAGCAGGAGGGTCACTACCAAGTCAAAACGATGAAAACTTTGACTGCATCCTACAAACAGCACTATTTCTCAAGCAACATACTTCGCAGCCTTATTGCTGTAGACTCGACTGGGTGTTTCAATATCAGGCATTGCTAGTGTTCACACAAAAATCCTGCATACGTATAAGGTTGAATTGACTTCCATGAGTAGTACATGACCTTATATCAATGCTTGACTGACAGTGGAAGGTAATGTATACCAAGTGTTAACATTGATTATTTGCAGACCAGTGTGAAATTGCGGAAATGATACTGTAGCAGGAAACAACATTGGTTAAAACCTCAAAAGAAATACATTTTATTGCAAACAATGACAGGGGTGGAAATAACTTTAAAATTGCTAGTGTACTCCGGTACAGTGGCACATATAAAATCACTTGCCCTGATAATATTTCCACTATACCGGTACTGTCCGTTTTCTTGTTGATTTTTAAAATAAACTACATTATTAACATTGGAATATCAACTGGACACCGGTATAGTGTGATATACAAATTTGCTTGCCCGAAAGAAAAAAACACTGGACTCGGGCATCGGGCAATGGGTTATTTCCACCCCTGAATGATAGGGGACCTTTCATAATTAATGGCAAGGGTGGTTGAGGATTATTTTTATGGAGAAGCATGAACAATGTGAATGACACCCCCTAAATTTATCTACAAGGTAACTACTCCCCCATCCCCTGCATGTCATTTACAAAATCAATGACCCACCCTCACCCCTTTGTAGATGTGACCCTCCCTACCTCCCCAGAACAAAATGGGTGACCCCCTACCCCCAAAGTCATCATCACCCCCACTAGCCATAAATTATGAACTGTCCCAACATAGGCTACATCATATATGTGCTGGGGTGGTTGGGTAACCTGGTGGTTAAATTAGCCTTCACTTGTCATGCCGAAGACCTGGGTTTGATTCCTCACATTGGTACAATGTGTGAAGCCCATTTCTGGTGTCCCCCGCCGTGATATAGCTGGAATATTGCTAAAAGCAGGGTAAAACCAAACTCACTCACTCACTCTTACACATATATTCAGCAGAGCCAAGTCGTGATGGATCATCTTGCCTCCAATCTGTTTGCTTGCAGCTGCTGTTAATACTCGTCATAGGGATTCTAGATTTGTGTAGGTCCCTCAACAAATAATGTTGGTTGAAAGATGTGATTGATTTAATGGATGGAGAGGTCAGTATGGTCTGACTCTGTGACTTGGCTGATTGCCTGTTATTGTACCCTAACAGCATGGATCGTTGCTTATGATCATTGGATTGTCAGGTCCAGACATGATCATGTACAGGCCACTATCATATACAGACAGAATATTGCTGACTGCAGCATTGAAAGTAAATAAATCAAAGTGTAAGCCTCATAACTACCGGCACTAAATACAAGTCAGGGTTTTACATAGCTCTTCAAAACTGGGATTCCTGGGGACTCGGGCATATTTTTTTGATAGTCCATTTCGAAAATTGGGAGTCCATCAATTTGCAGTGTAGGAAAGATGTAGAAAATCTAGCCTGGCCACAGGACTGGCAGGTCAAATTTTTTACCAGTCCTGCCAAAATCTAGCCTGTCCTCCAAATATAAATAAAACACCTCCGGCAGTAAATATTCAAAAAGGTTATAATCATTATATATATGTCATTGGTTTGCTAAAATTGACCCGACATGAGGACAGACTAGATATTTTTTTAACCCGTCCTCCACAAAATTCACCCGTCTCGGACGTTGGGACGGGCTATCTTTCCTACACTGCAATTTGCTCGAAATCAATGATCATGGATGCTTCCCATTTGATAATGATTATGCTGTAATATGTGTTAGTTTCAATGTCTATAGAATAATGATTGTAATATGGGATTTCATTACAAAATCATAATGTTCTTTCTAGTTCTTTCCCAGAAGAAAACTATATAGTGTGAATGAGTGCCCCCCCCTCTGAAATATATGAAAAAAGTGTGGAATATTGTTATGTATAAAACTGACTACCCCCATACCTCCCAAGAACATAATGGGTGACCGCCCTTAAAATCATCGTCACCCCTAGCCATGAATTATGAACTGACCCTTATGTTGAAAATTCAAACTTTTAGGGGGTTCCAATTGCATGTCCTGTTGGAAAAAAACATAAGATTTCTGTTACTGCCATACGTTATGACACATGTATGCAGATGTTGACGTTCAAAATTACTCATGCTCATACAAATGGAGACTCAAAAATAGATTGACGTTGCAAAGACACCTATTTAGAACTGGCTTTTTATAGCGTACCCAAAGTTCTATTTGAAAACAGTGGAAATAGTCCCATCTTTGTAAACAGGCGAATGAGATATTCCAGTATATCTGTTTTTTGTAATAAAATAATATTAGATGAATATACTCCGAAAAACATTGTATGGCCCATATTGCAGAAGTTGACGTCCATAAATTAATGCCCCCTTTATTAGAATAGATCGCTACAACAGTGTACAAGTTTCAACCCAGCTGCCTGTCAGTGTTATGATGTTGCTCATATTTTTATTAGATTTTCTGGTCATTGCTGGAATATTTATCGGTTTCTGTCATATGGCAAGAATATCTTAAAGCGCATCATTTGACAACAAACAAATTATAGTGTCAGCCTCTGAACTATCAAAAACCAGCCTGTAGTAATGTTCTCAGCATCGTGTAATACACTCATATTTTTTACTCTGTATGGACCAGGGGCGGTGGGGTAGCGTAGTGGTTAAAACATTTGCTCGTCACGCCGAAGACCCGGGTTAGATTCCCCACATGGGTACAATATGTGAAGCCCATTTCTGGTGTCCCCGGCCGTGATATAGCTGGAATATTGTTAAAAGAGGCGTAAAACTGAACTCACTCACTCACTCACTGTATGGACCATTATCAAGTCTTGTTCAGCTGGGGTGGCTTTATAGTAAAAGCATACACTTGTCCCACTGAAGACACAGGTTCTATTTCCATGGGTACATTTTGAAGCTATGGATGTTACTTAAATATGGCAAAATATGGCTTAAAACAAAAACTGTCGGCTGGCCTGCTTGTACAGCCATCATGAATTTATGATCTTCTTTGTGATGTCACATGTTTGTCAGTTACATTACTGACCCTGATTGTACTTTGACTTACTGCAATTAAAGGATCGGTGGGGTAGCCTAGTGGTAAGTGTTTGCTCGTCACGCTGAAGAACTGGGTTTGATTCCTCACATGGGTGCAATGGAAGGAGCCCATTTCTGGCGTTTCTCGCTGTGCTATATCTTAGATAATGCTAAAATCGGTGTAAAACCATACTCACTCAATGCACTCAAAGTCTGATGGCAGGCACAAGATAGATCTAATTGTCACACATAAAAAGATTAAGACTTGTAACTTGTAATGTTAAATTTGTTATATATGTCACTATCGAGTGTACAGGATTAAAGAGTTTAAAGGCAGTGTACACCCTTCCATCATATCAGGTTGCACAAGCCAATTCAGGCCATAAAATCTTCGACACCCATCTAAGACACATTTAACTACGTATGTATTGAGCACTTGGGAGTTAGACACAATGCTGTAACGTCACAATCTTAATCAGTGAATGTCCAGTGTCAGTATCAGTTGTATGGAGAATGAGTTGGGTGACATTTAATCCCATTAATACTAGGGATGTCACGATACGTAAGTTTCATGAATCGATACGTATCACGATATCCATGTCACGATTCGATACGTATCACGATACCTATTTTC